TGTAGGGAAGGAGGTGTCGGTACATTTAATTACCCTTCTGTTTCTGACAGCTCTGGGCAAAATGTCATGAGCTTCCTGATGCTTGTCACAGGTTTACCTGTTCCCTCTCCTGAAGGTCCCCTCTCAGATTGCAGTGCTGACATCCTCTAGTCCTATGCAGATGGAAACTCCCTATTCTCTAACTCTTTACTAAAACTGGAGTCATAATATTCTGCCTTAGTTCTAACAACTCTCTCAAAAACAGCAACAGCAAAAACCAGCCCTGAGAGCGAAGCGATCTCAGGCAGCAGCACATGGCTTGCATGGGAAGGCACTTTGCTGATCATGGCTTTGGGAGCAAAGCCGAGTTTCTTTTCTCCTCAGGACAGACAAGCTTAACACTAGGTAACTCCCAATCACACACACTCAGATATAAGGTATTTTCACCAGAAAATACAACGATCTATTAAAATCTAACTTTTTAAGAAGCTGCAACTAAAAATACATTCAGATAGTAGACTGAAGGCTCACACAGGTAGCGACATTTCATACAGACTTAACTTGCAGGTTTATAAAGTGTTTCCAAAAAATGTTAACATTAACACTGTACCTAAATGTTATCCTTCCTTCCCAGAATCTCTGATTGTGTTTCTTTTCATCCTCACAGTCAAATCTCTTGTTCAAAGCTTCATAACAATTAAAATACTTGATTGCAACACCGTTCCTTTTGCTTTTTACACAAAATATATTACTCTCCCTTCTGCAAAGAAACATTTCTGTCATTCCTTTCTTTCAGTCTTTCTTTGCCCACTTCTTTATTACTAAATCAAAAGTACAATTTTTAAACCGTTCCTCCTCCATCTTGAGAGAATCCTGTACCTGATAGTTTATTTTCTAGAGTTTTCCTCTGCTCCACTGCCACTCCCCACCTAAATTATTATTCGTATGCCTACCATAAAACTTCCCATCTACGCTATCTCTATAGACACAACCTATGGGCACAATCCCATCCTGTACGTGTTCATCAAACACTTAATGTCATTGTCTATATGCTTGCAGTCTCCACCCATTTTCAAGATGCAGCTCTGTAAAGCCCTGAACAACTTAATCTAATCTCACACCTGACTCTGCTTTGAGCTAGTGACCCTCAGGTCCCTTCCACTCTCAATTATTCTATGATTCTAAAAATAATTTGAGATATTAGGTAATTTTGGTCCGTTTTCAGTTCAAATGACTTCACTCCCTAAAGAGTAACTCCAGAGGTATACTCCTTACATGGTTATCTCAAAAAAAGAACCAGTTACATTTCTATGTAGCAATGAATACTGGTAGCTACCATACCACCAGCAATGCAGTACTGAGTAGAGCGGGGACATGCAAGAGCAAAATAAACCATGAAGAAGATTTTGAGCTGAATCTGCTTGATAGACAAGAAAATGGGGGGCAGGGCAAAGGGCATACAGTATTTTTGAAATTATGAAAAAAGTGAAAAGAAAGATAACTTGTTACTGTATGTTGGTAAATCACTCCTTAAGTTCCAGGTTTTATTACACATGTAAAGGTTAAAAATGAATTTTTTACCTCACTTTCAAGAAAGAAAAGAACCAACATTCTAATAAGGTTTCCATTTGGACTATTTCGCCCCCTCCTCTTTGCTAGAGCCTCTTCAGCTTGGGGATCATGTCTGCTGAACAGTCTAAAAATAAGCAAAAGGAGCTATCATGTTTATCAAAACAAATCTCATTTCTGCAATAATATGATGAGCACTCATTCTTGATATAGTAATTTGTTGATAAAACACAGTGAAAGTATCTCAGGCTACTTCTTTCAAGAGAAAGAGGACATGACCTCTGCCTGTCTGAAGAGATGAATTTATCTTCAGAGACTTCAAGTTCACAGGGCTGGAAGGATTTCACACAGGAAAAAGCTCTCCAAAACACATTTATACTGAAAGATTTTGCAGAGTTTTACAGATCTGCATAATTTGTATAGTTTTGCATTTGTAACTTATCAAGTCTTACAAGGGTGGTAGCAGTTAATCCCCTAGTGCCTTAAGAACTAAGGTTGTATCTTCACTGTGGTCACACAGACTGGGATATGGTATCAACAAACTTGACATCCCATTAAACAACCAGCCTCAGGTACCAGTAGCAGCATAAAGGATAAAGCAAGCTACCAGTCAAGTATCTGGGGTTTTTTTCAGGCAAATTATACATTCTGCACTGAATTCCTTGATACGTGGCTAATTCCAAAGCACTTTCAATGCTCAAATTTGCTAGCTTATGGAGATCTCAGATGTGCCTACAGTACAGTTACAGCAATGATTCTTTTACTTTGAAAAGTTTGAAAACCGTTCCTTGGTTTTACAGTGAAACTGCAGTCATAAAGCAAATTAAAAATGTGAAACAGTATTCTCATTTCACTATTATAACTCACTGAAAAGAGAAGGATGAGTTAGACACAAACTCATTGTAGTTAAAGACATCACCTCTTCTCTCCTCCTTACTTTAGTAGATAAGAAATTAGTACCTCTGCAGGTGCTGAAGTATCTTAAAACATGCACCTCAGGGCTGAGCCAGGGATCCTCTCTATTATTTGCTTTCCTTTGCTAACTACAGAGGGAAAATGATATTTAAATGTACAAAATTAGGTCAGATAAATCCCACCTCAAAGGCCTAAACAGATTCTAACTTGTTTAAATGGAGCACCAGCTCTTACGTGTCAGTAGAAACCAAGAGAAACGAGTGCTGGGAATGGGACAATCTTCTCTCAATGCTGTTTACCTTGAGAGACATTCATAGAACACCGAATTGTATCTTGTTGTCAAGGAAAGTTACCTTAAGTGCACTAAGGAGCAGACACGTCTTCACTTACCTTCGAGGCATTTTTCAAAATTATTTTATCACATATTAATTAACAAAGGAATTTTCGCACATTAAATTTTGTAAATTAATTCCTTGAAACAAATAATGCCTGATCACAAAGATGGAATTCCAGAAATCCACCAAAGAAAACTTTCAATTACAGTGTGGACTTCTATATCACCAATGGAACACAGAAAATTAGAACATTGGCAAAGGAAAACTGATGTTTTTACGTAACCTTTTTACTGTGTATCTTGTCATGAAAAATTAGGTAACCTGGATTCTGATTTAAATACTCTATGAATATATTAAAGAACTCTAATGTCACAACCTATGAGGGGAAAAAATAAAAATAATGCTGAAATATTTTTAACTGCAAATACTAAAGTGAAAATGTTAACTCCTATGATGTGGAAATGTCCTGGTCATAGTTACTGATGTGGTATGATTTACACCCCTGGAAAAGCTAGCTCATTGCCTTTGGCACAGTGGGTACGTGAAAGGAGTAACCACAGTGGAATGTATTTTTAGGGGAAGTCAGTGAGTTTAGAAACAAATTTCTTACTTATTACTACACCAAAAAACTCTCACATTCACAATTTTGAAATAAACTGGTTTAAAACTTTATAAAAATGATGACTGCCTATCAGGTAGACCATCAGGAATGTATAGGCCCTATATACATATATCATCGCAACAGTAATTCAGCAAGAGCTGCAGGATTTAAACCAACTTCAGAGGTTTATACAGCCTTTGTATATTTAGCCCTTGAGGAATTAGGAAAAGTTATCTGAACTCTAGAGCAAGGAAAATGTAAATTCAGTCTTTTGGTCTTGAATCTAAACAAGAGAATATGTTTTAAATTAAACACCTGATGTGCTAAATTGGGATATTTCACTCTGTTGCTTCTTTGCCTTTTGATATTACCTCTACTAGGAAGCATTCACAAATCTGGTCTTCTTCCAGGGCAACCGAAAACTTACTTTTTGTGCAGGAATTCTCCAGCCGCTACTGCAACAGGCCGGTGGGCTGAGTACACCAAGTGATAAACATTCTCACAGTCTTCATTCGACAGAGCTTCTTCGCTTCCACTGAAAGAGTCAGAAAGTAACACCTAAACTAAAACAAATGTTTAATTTCCATCCTCTCACCTCCCATAACTTGCTTTTGACAGCAACAGGATTGATTTTCTTCACATAAAATCCTAACTGGTTGAACACTGACTTCAGGGATCTTTGGTTCAATTTCCAAATATGGAGATATTTAAAGGGTCTGTAAAACTGAAAGTGTGTCTGATTTCCTTCTCCCAGCTGTATCAATATATACATATAAAACAATATTATGAAAAAAAGTCATCACTACTTACAAACCTTGCCCTGCCTAATTACTCAGACCACCACATGAACTACAATGCACATATCGCAAGATGCCAAACACTCAATATCAAACATCACTAAATTAAAACCCTAGAATGTTACATGTGGAAAATGTAATTGCTTGCTTAAGCTTATTTACTTCAATAGCAATGTCTGTTTGCTTTCAAAGCTTATTAAAAGTTTTAAAGTATTCATATCTGGGACTGGGAAAACCTCCTTCAGCCTCCTGGCCTACTCCGTTCTCCGGAGTTCAGCCTTTTCACGTGACAGTCCGCACGCTCTTCTGCGCTGCGGAGCAGGGGCTGCCGCTCTGCTAAGTAGGAAGGAATAGTCCCAATTCCAGCTGCTGAAAGGGTCAGGCCAGGTGGATGAAACTGCCTCAGCAATGGCAGAAGGCCCAGAAAGGCTCTGGGTGTAGTTAGCAGAACACTAAACCAGATTACGCCACAAAGCAGGGACACGGAACTAGCACTGTGCATCCAGCAATCAAAGCAACACAGAATCACTTCAGGATTGAATCACGGTGTGCATTCAGAATTACAATAATGCTGACACAATAAATTGTCCATCACTTCAGTTATGCTGACTAGATACAGAGTTCATTTTCAACATCAAGGAACTGAATCTGATCATACCCTGCTGTGGTGGATGAAAGATGTTGAAAAGTTTATTTTCTAACATATATATTATTATATATATAAAACATATATATTATTTCTGAATTACATATATTACTGACAAGAACAAGCCACCTTTTACCCTTGTCGTGGGTAAAAAACATAGTTGGGGCTTCTGCAGTTTCTAAGCTCAAAGTACATTTTGTGTGTGAGTTTTCTGAAACTCAGGAAAACTTCCATTATTCAGCAGTAGTCTTGAAAAAGGCTATGAGCCACGGAACAATTATATTCCATCCCTGATATCAAAATATCACCACTGTCGCATACAGGAATACTACTTCCCTCCTTGTTTAGTCTGCATTCCTCACACACATTTATGTATCATGACTCTATACATCATTTGGCTTCATACTACAAATAATTTTCAGTTGGTCGTTCCCCACCATGATGGTTCCATGACATTTTTTTGGAGTTCCTACTTGCCAGAATATTGCCCTGCGCTGTTCAGTGTGACCCGTATTCTTCTGGTGCTGAATGCATTTAGCTATGTTTTCACCATGCAACCAAAGAGAAAACAGGACAGGAAAAACAAAAGGTACACTGGATAATTTTTGACCTAAAATCTTACTGTGCTGCCAAACGTTGCTAATAATGTAGGGAATAGATGCGTTCTACATCCCATTTGTGATCTTATTTGTTATATTTCCTTAAAAAATACAACAGCAGATGCAAGATTTCCTGTCTTCCTACTGTTACAAATCTAGTATCTGTAAGGCAGTGACCCATAAATAAAAAAACGAATTACAGACTTCTTTACTAAGTCTAATCTTTCATCCAAATTCTGCATGTCCAAAAACATTCTTCATATTGGAGCCACTGGGTATAAAGTATGATGCAGAAATTCTATGCACCTGGTTGTAAAACAGATTAACACAGGTTTTAACGAATATATAACAAAAGCTGAGCAGTGCTCCTCCAGCAGCACACTCACGAGCTGCTATAACGGGTTGGTTCAAACAGTCCGCATGTGGGATGAACTTTGGACGGGATCTTTGGTTCATGGAAGCCAGTGCATCTCTGTAAGAAGAAGTTGGGGGCCTGGAAGCACGTCTCCTCCTGCACAGCAAAGTGTTTAAAATTGCAAGCTACCACTGCCACCTCCACATAATCCAAACAAGGGGGTTGAAGCTAGCACTTTTTCCCCTGTCAGCTTATTTACCAGACGACTCTCTTTTCAGCTGTGTCAGGTAATGGGATCTCCTAACACTGGATCTTTGCTTAGTTACTGCTAGAGTAATTTTAGCAAATGTTACTCATAGATACTTGTTTTGGGGAGGACAATCATTTTGCCCTTGGCAAAAGGTATAAATGCCCTCTGGCATTCTTCCACAACAATGGATGCACTAATAGTCTCAATATATCAATACATTTTTATACTTTGCCTATTCTATTTCCATGAGATGGAATATCTTGTTTTAGCTTCATGACCATATTATTGCACGTTCAGTTCAACTTCAAGTGTAAAGTAACAGATTCACTCATTACACAAGCAAAGAAATCAAGTCAAATAAATATTACTGGCTTAGGTAACTTTCAAAGGGAATATACTGGTTTTGAAAAATACTCACTGAAGTATTAGCGTGACTAATCGAATGGCTTCCACAGCGACATCATATTCCTTATCAAGTGTCATTGATACAATGCGGTCCTGAAATGGAATTTTATTGCAGTGACAAAACAGAAACACACAATCAGATGGAGAACTCTATAGATCACAAAACAAATACTCTTGGGAAGAAAGATCTTTCAACTAGACACATGAAAGCCCTTTAATATTATTCAGTCGTTTAATGTACATCTTACGAAGCCGTGTGCTGTCTGGAGAATGCAAAAATAGGCAAGTACACAGGAAGAAGAACAATGCTCAATGAACAGTCCTTATCCTTGCGTGTTTTCCAGGAAACAAGCAAGCAGACTTTGGAGTTGAAGCACTGCTCTGGACTGGTCTTATTTAACAGTTCTTCCCAGGAAAGGAATGTCCTTTGGTTGGATGACAGCAGAAAAATTGCCCTGCTTCATCCCCCTGAAAACAATTTTAGAGCAATGAATGCTGCATATACGTGTATCTGGAAATACTGTGAAGAAAATCACAGCTGAATATATGCCTCTGCATATTGCCTATAAAGTTGTGGCCTTTCTACCTGGCTACATCTAAGCTCTGAGGCTGATTTCAGGAATTACACTACAGACCTTCCACAGGAAAGTGGGAAATTCCATGGTTTGGCTTTGTATTTTCCTATACTCCTTTTAGTGGAGACAAGCACACCACTTGCCAACCTAATGTAATTATTTTATAACTTCTAAGGACCCTGTAGTTATGAGAAGTCTCCTAAGGATTTCTTTCTCCTTAGTTTCAGTTTGCTTACTGGCAACCCAAAATAGATGCGATTAGTGTATGCTGTCCTCCCTATCTGGGGATAATTTCTATCCATCCATAAAAATGCAGTATGTCTTGATGTTCTTTGCTTGACTGATCAAGTTAATGAAAAAAAATTGGGCCATCTGAAAATAAAACTTGATTTCTCTGGCTTGACCTGCTTCAGGAAGGATGAGGTACCATATGACATTTTGGGATGTGAAAAAACAGAACCCAGGAACTCGAAAAGAAACAAGGGAAGTGCTAGGAAACAACAGTGAAAGTCAGCAAGAACAAATCAGGACAAAATGAAGGTGTTCATCTCTTTTCGCTATTATTCCAGGCATTTAAGGGCTGAAGGTGAATATCAAGCAACTGATGCTTATTTCAGTATCACAATTTAGGAACAGTGGGTAAAGCATGCATTGTGGTTGTCTCCAGTGTTACTTCTCAACAAAACCAGGTCTGTAGAGATCCTTTGTGTCACTATGACTGAATGCACCTCTATCAATCAATCACTGTTAAGTTCCTCGGAAATTTGATGCATTTAACTGTCAGACGTAGACAGTTTTACAGACTGTGAGGAGTCCATCAAGAGACTCGAACAGTGAGATAACTTTCCAGACAGGAAATTCTGTGTATGGACAAGATAAAAAAATTGCTGTCAATTTTTCCTAAGATCCTGGCCAAGGAACAATCACTAACAACAACATCATCAAAAGAAAGAACAGCCAGAGCTACTGATCTTAAAAGTTTCAGTTGTGTATCTTCATCTCCAGGATACCACAGGGAGGGAACTATCTGCACATGAAGGAGTAAGCACACAAGTATAAAACCTTTTCTACATCGCTGAAGAAAACCTAGAAGGGATCCTCTCTCCTGCCTACAGAGCAAGAGTTACTCTCTGAACTGGGAGTCCTTTCAGGCTTTGAAACCGACTGATGCGACAATGTTTTCTTATCCAAAAAGACTGTTCTCTCCTCTCAATTTTTCCCAGAACTATCAGGCTTAAAATAAACAGTGTGGATGCATCATTTCTTGTTTTCTGCTTTGGTGCCACCATCTCTGTGTGATGGCACCTGCCAGCCAGGCACCCAGATCCTTGAAAATGAGATCCGAGTATCTAATACTTCTGTAACTTTGGTGGTTTAGTAAGTAATAAACCCCAGGTGCTCAATCTGCTTTGTACAGAATTTTCCTGTAATACTGTATAGCAGCAGAATAGGGCACACGTCTGTATTTATAACTTGAAATATTAATTTTCACTGTCCATGAAGATCAGTTTGCAATTATGGGTTAGGCTGTGAACAAGGCTGGCTGAAGAGCAGATGTATCTCCTTTTGCCTCTCAGGCCATGGAGACAGCACTCTCCAAAGGGTCAGGGGTGAGGGACAGGCATTAAATGGCTGCATCTAAATCTGCTGGTGTCTTGACTTTGACACTGAGTGCAAAAGAGCTAATTCACATCTTTTCCATATGGCTTCAGTTAACGTTTGTATCGGATGGGACTTCTTGATGGAAAACAAAAGGCTCCTCTTCGATGGCCAAAAGTTTTTGTGACAGATAAAGCTTATTTTCTAGTATATCACCTACTCCTAGAAACACAAACAAATGCTAGAATGAACACGCATTTCTCCTTTGGAGGTGTGACATTATCAGATCCTCGTCACAGCTATCTGGAAGGCGGTGAAATATTAACACCCCAGTACAAGTCATTCTGGATCAAATTAATTTATACTTTGAACAGCTAGAGGATCTCTAGAGAGATTTCTCTTGACAGTTTGAATGGATTGAGCTGAACACCAGCTGAACTGTGCAGGTCGATTAAAGCCTGATGAGGAAATATAAATAAGCAGCCATGGAACTGAGAATGGCATTTAGGTCAATTATTTTTCAGGCGGTGGTGGTAGAGATCGTGGTGGCAAGACATTTAAGTAATGTATCACACATTCAAAAGGCATTAATTGGAAACTTTGCTCCGTCCTGGTGCCAAAGGCCGCATTCTTGTCAGCACCGCTGCAAATCTCAGGGCAGGCATTTGGGCAATGCCAGCTTTTTGTTCTCTTGATGTGGCTGGAAACTGAAACTGATAAATCGCCATGTTAAACATATCTGTTCTCTATACTCACGGAGCCTTTCAACTCACCTTTTCTCTAATTTATTTCACAATGATACAGATTTCTGTAGTAAAAACAGTTTTAGCGGAACAGAGAAAGACGAGGATTCCTAACAAGGTTCCCTTTCCTCTGAATCTTTTTGACAGCAATGAAAATCCCTTGTGCCATTCTGAAACAAGAAGCGATGCACAGACTAACCTGACTTCTTCTAACAAAGGTAATTCTCTATACTGTGCAAAAAGCCAGGAGGAATTATTTCGAGGTTTCATGTTCCTGTAGTTTTTTGAAGTACATTACTGAGCAATTATTCCCAAAGTGCCTCCAATTGTCTTGAAAAGTTTTGCTGGTGGATGGGACAGGTTCAGACTCCAAGCAGCATTTTCTCTTACAAATTACAAGAGGCTAAGAGAGAAGGATCCAGCACATTTTCTAGCAAAGAGAAGCAGATGTAGAGACCATGAGAGTTTTAGTGGCCTATTCAAAATAAATCAAATTATAGATGGAGCAAATATATGCAAATCTGTAAGTCTGCACAGATGGAACAAGAAAAGCAGCAGAGTTGGAGGGTTCATTTTTCTGGAGAGTTAACTAGTATTTCTAGTTGTCCTGAGATGATAAGCAAACCACACTTACGGAGGCGTTACAGAAGTAGTGTGAGGTCTGAACCTGTTTGCCAGGTACTCTTCTATGACAGGAAAGTTTGTCTTTACTGCAATAGCCCCAGAAACTAACTTTGTAAAATCAGAAGAATATGGGCCCTGAAGTGATCTCACAAAATGATCTAGTTTCACCTCTTACTTTAAAGTCAACATTACCTAGTTCATTCCTGACAGATATTTACTGAATCTGCCCTTAAAAATCTCAGATGCAGGAGATTACTAATAAAGAGTCAGTGCTTCTGTTCTATTATATAATTTTGGACAAAAAGCCTTCCTTAACATCTAGACTTTACTGCATTTCAAGCATCTTTTTTCTCCATCTCAAGTGAATGTGGTAAAAGGCTAATTACCATTATGTTTTTATGAATCGTTTACATATAGGGAAGATATGACAATTTTTCTATATTTTGTGCTTTCCTAGATCAAACTGGAGGAGTTAACTAACTGCAATGATAGACAAAACTAGTGAAGCAGTATAAAATCTATAGTGAGAACTTCTCAAGTCTCATGCACAGTAGTTATTTATGAATAGTTACATCTCCACTTCTTTTCTAAATAGATTTTTTCATCAGCATTATAATCATGATTTAAATGAAAATAAATCAGTCATTTCGACTTCTTTTCTACATGGAATTTTTTATCATGATTTAAATGAAGGTAATTATAATCATGATTTAAAGGAAAGTAAATTAAAACAGTCTCTCCTTGGGGGGTAGCCTTTACCACAGTTCTGTGTTCTCCAGAACACAAAAGCGATGGTAAAAGGTGCCAAACGACGTGGTGACAGTGCCTGAAAGCTTTCTTTGCAGGGCATCCAAACAGAAGCGATGACAGTGTTTCTACACTCGTCTCTCCAGATATTTCATTTGTGAAATAAAGTAGTCATGCCACAAAGTGAATTAACAGTCGTGTTCTTGTCAAGGTATTAAGCAAAAAGTCAGCCTGTTTGTGACAGTGAAATAGCCCATGAAATATTCCTCCAGTACTTCTCTCCTAAACGGGACAACCACGCTCAGGGTTTGTCTAACAGCACAATGTAAACCCCTGTTCTGCAGCAAGTGTAGAATATTGTGGTGCAAATCAAAGTATCTCTTCCTCCAAACACAAGCACATATTCAGCTAAAAAGCTGTCTTGCAAACAATCTTTTGTTACAGGCTACTACTTTCAGATGTATTTTAGATTGTGTGAAACACTCAGTACACACCCTTAAAATTCAAGTAAATCTAAAATTAAATAAGTACAAGTAGACTGAATAATGACAATATATAAACTATCAATAACACAAACAGATAAATAATCATCCTGACCAAACCTGACCAATCTTACATGAGAAACACTGTAAAATGAATTTGGCTTAAACTCAGCATTCAGTAATACAGTTTTACTACTGCAGTTACAAGCCTTGTCACAAACAAACGAGTTCATTTTTGCATTTAATATACATGACTCAAAGACCGCAATGGGATGAGATAGATGATACTTCTATTTTCTGTACTCCTTCCAAAAATTGTATTTCCTCTTACCTTGAATCTATTCGTGAACAGCTCCAGTTTTGGAAATAACTCTCTGTTGGTATACAGACTCTGAAGAGCTTTCAAACACTTCAACCTCACTTCACCTTGCTAAATAAAACACACTAAGATTAGCTGATAGAATACCCCAATCAAATGCACATGAATATTAAATAATATCATATTATAATTTGTTTAATGTACATTTAAAATTTTATGCAAATGAGTTACCAAAGCCAATTTGCAATTCAGCTAAAAACCAAAAACTACATGCAGCAGCTGCCTACAAACAATGTTAAATTTTCTCCCTATTTGCATATTTAAAGAATTTAATGTGCCATCAGTTAAATATCTGTTACTGTTTCCCTTTTAAGGAACTCCACAAAAAGATAAAGAACGTAGCAAGTAAATACGAAATTAAGATGTATGATCTCAAGTCTTAATGACTGTAACAAAAATATCACTTGTGGCACATGGGAGGGGACGCAGTTCTGAGACCTTTTTTTCTGTCATAAGACACCGATTTCCCTGATCTATCTCCTCACAATCCAGACTTGCCAGTTACTCCTCCAAGTGCTAACATGCTGCCTTAATGTCCATACAAAAATCCCGCTGAAAACAGTGCGGCCATTTCTCTTTGGGAAAGAGACTACAGGTAACTTCTGCCTGCTACCTGGCGTTTACAATGCACAGGTGTTCAAAGTGACTGAGCATGGGCTACATGTTGCCCACCCAAGCAACTCAGACATCTCCAAGCATGGTCGTTCCTGTTCCCAGGGACAGAGGGAATACACACTAGATTTATCGTTCTGAAGTTTTCTACATCCCATCTTTCATCATAGCACAGGCACAGGCTGAAGGATGCAAAAGGCCTGAGAGACCATCCGATGGGGAGCAGGCTGCTGCCACAAGAACAACGCATCTAAGCCACAGCCTGAGAAGCCCTTGGGAAGAAGAGCAGCTTGCGTCTGTCTGTCCGAGTTGCTCTGGTGGCAGCAGCTCATTCCCAGCTGCTCTTCAGACTGGGATTTCTTGGATCTGGTGGGCTGTAGGCAGGAAATGTGGGCGTCACGGGACAGTGCCTATGGATCAGGGTTTGTCACCTACAGGAACACTGGTGTTACAGAGAAGGGCTGGATCCCACGTGCTCATGCACATCGTCGGGCTGGCTGCAAAGGTACAACCCGGCCCAACTGCGTAGTCTCAGCATACTATGGCATTTTATTGAAAAATATTTGTAGATAGCAAAGAGGTTACAGACACAAATCTGCTCAAATACGATCTGTAGAGTTCACTGCAGTGTGAACTTACTTTTACGAAAGTGAGTACGTTACCAAGTCTAAGGCCTTACGCTGCTCAAGAACTAATACAAATTATTGTACTTTATAAATGAAACTCCATAGCCAGCGGGCTTAATTTCTGAGCCTGTCTATTCTATAATCAAGTCCATACTTAAAAAACTGCTGAAGCTAAAAGCTGAAAGAACATTCAGAGACTGACATAAAAACAGAAGCTGAAAATCCTTATTTTTAAGTTTCTCTCCTCCTTCCCATCTATTTCAAAAATTTAAATAGAAGATAAAAGAAGGACAGAAGTCGAAAGGAGGATTTTCAGAAGAACTTTTCCTTGAAGAACAATTGTTCCTGAGATACCATCTTTTTGCATCTTTTGCATCTGTGAGGAGTCCCTGAGCACTCATGCTCTCTTCTGGGGATGTTTTTGACTACAACTGCAGAGAAAGTCAATGAGATGAAAGTTACGTTTAAAGGATCTATCCTAAGATCTTTCAAGGAACAGAAAAGAATGTTCTCGAAGAAAAAGTTTATATGGACTTAATCAACTGCTACATAAGCACAGCAAATGCTGCTTGTCATTCTTCTTTTAATGGCACCTGTGTTGCAGTATCAAAAAAGGTGTTCCTCTGCTGTGGGGCATTTAGAAAGGCCAGGATCTCTGGAGTCATCACTGATCATCAGAAGCGAACGCAAGCCTCTTACGCCCTTTGCCTATTTAGCCAGCGGATCAGTATCAGTTTTGGCACGCGATGAACACTGCGGAGCAACAGCGAGGTAGCAGGTTTAGTCACAACTCCACTGAAGACTGTCCCGTGTGCGAGCAGGTGGCTTGGTGTTCAGCCAGCGCTGTAGTCCCAAAATGCAACACTCTGAGTTGGTTAGGTACAGAAAAAACATCAGTGCCAACAGCAACGAGACTCGAGACCTGTGCAGGTAAGGTTGGGACTCCCCATGGAGTCCAAAGCCCTTGTGGACTTCACCAAACACCACGGAGCAACGGCCCCAGAGTTAAGTTCAGGCCTAATATCAAGGGTCTCTGTAAGTCTAAAGTGAGCAAATCAAGCAAGGTAGATAGGACGTGCACCTATGAACACTTGGTACTTGCATGGCCTGCCAGGAGACTGAAGCCAGGCGCTAACAAAAGCGTACTGAACCAGGGTCCTATCCTCCTGCCGCTCACCAGATCAGAGGCAGAAGACAAGTGACTGCAGGAGCAGGCGAGGAAGAGCGAAAGGCTGCATTACATCTCTAGCTGTGAGCAAAGGCCCAGGAGACACAGAGGTGATCCCTGGAAATGACTGCCCTTCCTGGCACACAAATGATAGGAGGAGGACTTTCTCTGCTAGTAAAAAAGGTCTGTTTTTTAAACTGTTGGTCAAGATGGAATTAATCTCGATGAAGAGATTCTCCTCTCTGGAGAGGGAAGAGCCCCTGCATGTCAGCTTGCTAATCCTGTTAGGAAGGTTTTAAAATAGAGTCAGTGGAGATTAGTGACAGAAACCCTTGGGGAAGCATAAACAGCAATGACCTGGACAAGAACCTACAAAGGGCAGAAGTGAAGGTGTACATGGATACACTGCACTGAAGTCCAGAACGGAGGAGCAGAAACATCCCACAGACCACCAACATGCCTGACACAAGATGTTTCTTGAGTAACTATGAGAATCATGCAAGTAACATGAGCTTTTAACACCCCAAACACTTTTTTTGGGGAAAAAAAAAAATTTAAATTAGCAGAAATCTCCTCTCCAGCAAGGAAGTAAGCGGGTGGGAATGATAAAATTAGGGTAATTCCTAAGAACTTCTGCGAGGGTAAAAGCTGCACACACAGTGATGCAGAGCAAGGACAGGAAGAGACTTACTTAACTAAGAGATGAACTTATTTAACTAACGAATTAATTAGGAGGTCAAGCACAAAAGGAATACAAAAAACAGAAGGAATATAAATTTTAAAAGGCCTGGGCACAGTATGGAATGGACACAAGAGATAATGAAGGAAACTTTCTGTAAATATCTTTGTAGCACAACAAAAAAAAGTCACTTTGCTTTGAAGGAAGAGGAAAAAAGTAATGGACACTTCTTTTGGGCACAACTGGTAGGAAAAGAAATAATAAATTAGAATTACAACACAGACTATTTCGCTTACTTGAGGAAGAGCTTTTTGGTGCAGTGGGAAACATAGTTAAGCACTGAAACTGCTACAGAAAGCTGTGGAATAACCTACACTAGAGGTTTTTTAGACAATATGAATGTCTGTGAGAACCACTGTAGATATACAGTGAAGTCTGATTTGCTACCACACAATACCTTTAATTACATTAAAGAAAACAAGCATCACTTTCTAGCTATTTTTGTGTAGTCACATTTATGCTTTACAGATAGAAAAAGCGTATCTGAAAGGAAATCCTTGCCACTTTCTAAGTAAACAATGGAGAAAATGTTTGCATTATCAGCATTCTAAAAGCAAGACCTTCCATCCCCCTGAGTTTAATTTTCCAGAAAAATATATTTACTTAAGGTTTTGTACAATTTATAATTGTGACACTTGCTTATTGCAGAATCCTGAATTCATCCACACTATCATAAATTCTATGCATGCATTTCTCCAGTTTAATTATTCCTGTAATTCCCCTTCTCTCAAAGAATTTTTAAATAATCATTTATATATTTTATTATTTGTTATATGAAATTTTTTCATGAATGAGAAATGCTTTGCGCTAATACTTGTTAATGCTTTCTTTTATTTTCAATTTGAAATTATAACCTAAAACAAAAATATCAAATATTTATCAACACTGTTTAATGACAAACATTTCTCATATTTTCCCTATTTTTGTTCAGATAATCCTTCAGACACTTCTGAGTTTTGAGCAAAAAATTGTTACCGTTGCTAATAAAGCAAAAAGCAACACATACACCTCTCATGCCAGCAGTGTGAGGTAGTCTACATTTGTCTGGGAAAGTCATGCTCTACTCATATTTCTCTTTAGTATGGCAGACCTGTGAAAAACAATCCATCCTGGTGGAAGTACACCATTTTCCTGTTTTTCACATGCTAAGCACAGGACTCGAACCAACAATCCGTAACTCTCATGTAAGTCTCACAGTGACCTATAGACTGGGCTCAAGCCACCTTAGATTCTTATTAATGTTCCATGTAGCTGACTTCTGAGTATTAGTTTGCCATCTTCCAACGACAAGCAGACTTTCTATTTTTAATTTAAGCTCCCAGGTCCATGGGAATGAGAACGAAGCTTAAAAAGAGAGAAAGGCAGAACTAGAAACCCATATTCAAATGAGAAAGTAACCTATAAAAAACAAAAAGTCCTACAGATATTCATCTGAAATCTGGGAAAGAGACAGGATTAACATACAAAATATGCAGATTTCCCAAATTAGAGAACCAAACTCCTGTATCCTACCTCTGAAAGACTACACTGGAGCTACTACAAAGAAGTGTAAGAATTGTGTCTTCCCTGTGGTTTAATTTTTATCTCTTCTGAAGCAGAATATGAAACTGCTCAAGAATCTCTTGCACTGCTGCCTCCTCTGATAGAATTCTTCTGTGTCTGGCCCAGATGGAAAACCATTTTTTTTACCATAATACCGTAATTTATACTATGTCTGATATGAAAGAACATATTAATTTTAAAAAATCTGAGGCAAAAATATATTTTAAGGCTGCAGGCAGATGACTAGACACTGGCTTGAGGTCAAGCTAACTGACAAGGATGTGAGAAACTATTGGACACGACATGAGAAATTGCTGGAGGTGACAGATAACAGTGTGAGAAGCTGACACCAGTCACAGACAGCGCCGTGAGGAATGGCTGGATTTCACAGATGGTTAAAGGGAGTTACGTGAGAAACGGCTGGGCTTCACAGACCCCAGAAGGGGACTGAGAGCTGCGAAGTGCAATGCTACTAGATTCTGCTCTCCCATTGGAAGTGCTACTTCGTGGAAATGTTCTGCTAGGATTACAATGTGCTCCAAACAATCCACTGCAATCATTCAAGGGATACTTTATTTTTAATTAAAAGTCCTCCAACCACACCTAAAATCCTAATCCTCCAATCTGAGTTGACTTCCCCACTGATTTGATAACTTGAAGCAGTGATACCACTTCCTGAAGCACCCTACTAGTGAGGCACACCAATGTTAAAAATGAGGTACACAGATGGAGCAGCAGCTCTGCCCCTCAAAGCACTATGATGGCCACGTTTCCATGTCCAAGCTTTAATGATAGGAAGTGTAGTGTCTCCAGAGCAAAGAGTAGCGATGGGTGATTGTAAGTAGTAAGCAGGATCTCCCTCCTAATCAAGTTTTGTAACAATGAGATGTAATGTAAAAGTTTGGGGTAAGTTCGCAAAGAAAAATCCTGAGAACTACAGGTTTAGAGAGGAAAGACATCACATAACAAGTCTCTAAAGCATACAGGATACTCTTAACAAGTAAATTGCTTGTCCAAATCAAGGTAAGATGCAGATCCTTGTCAGCTATAGATAAAGCAGAGGAACCAGTGGCAGCTAACTTTTCATTAGCTAAAGCTAACATCCTTCTAACTGATCTTGTTCAGACTTCAGAAGATGACTGACGGAGTCATATCCTCAATGTTTATATGCTTTCCAAAGTTATCGAAGAAATCATCTTTTTGAAGAATCAGCTGTTAACTACCAGTTATGCAAGTCTATCAGAATGAACGTGTAAACTTTAAATTTTTTCCAGCAGTGCTGGGAATAAAAACGAATAGTCTGAATCAGGATGCTGGAATTCAATGACCATTTCAACAGTATAGGTAGGTCTCCTCTGTTTTCCTTGGATACTGCTAGCAAAAAAGTTTAGAGTAAAACAACCATATCTAGTGGCTTTGACTAGAGTGGGAGCACGGCTAGTCCCAGTTCCTGCCTGGTGTACAAAAACGCCGCACAGTCAGCAGCACAAAGTCCTGTTCTATTAACACCAGGAATGGGCTGCTCTCGCTGCAGGAACCGAGTGGTACTTCAGCCTGCTGCCACCCAGCAGAGGCACGTCGTGGATACCATCAGTGCAAAGAACTGTGGCGAGATAAGAAAGAAACTGGATATAAAATTTTTTGCTTCCATCTGGTGTTTCAACAATTTTCTGAAGAAAACGCTGGTGAGAAACTTGAAGAGATTCTTCAAGGGAAAATGAATTGATGAGAATTGCCCTGGTTGTAGAGCCAGTGACGTCTGTTGGGTACCCGGAGATATTCCCTTTCCTCTGACTATTAGGCAATGTAAATGGAAGACAAATATGGAAATCTCTTCCATTCTGCTTCAGACACAAAGCTTCTAAGGGGTGATCTGAGGAGACTTCTCTTTCTCTTGTGATCAGAAGAAAAGCGCCACAGAAACATTTCTATTAAGATATTCTAATGTTGACTGAAAACACAAAAAGCCCGTGAACCAAGCATGCAGTTCGGGAGCACTGTATCCTAATTTAGGCGAATACCCTAAAATAAGCTGGCTGAAAGACAAATAACAGGTAAGAAAAAAGAACAATCTCTTTACAAATCAAAGATGATATACTAAACATGTCTTGGGTAGTATAACACCAGCTACCTACAGTACACTCTGCTATTTACAGTTATACACAATACTTACCCTGTCATGTAGTGTCCAACCAACATATTTTAAATAACTATCATTCAGGAAGGCATCACTGTACATTTTCATCCAGACGCCAATTTCTTCAATACAGACAGCTCTAATCTCAGCAATAGCATCACTAATAAGGAAAAAAGAAAAGTATTAACCAGATTATAGACACATACTGTTTACTTCTCATTCCCATTGCCCTAGCTATAATGTTTTGCTTTTACTTTCGAGGAACTTCATAATGTAGGGGCTGTCACTGTTCTCACTGCCATCTCACTGATTTTCTGTTCCTTTATGTCCTTGAACTCACTGATCTATCTAATAATACCAATATTTCTACAGGCAGATATGGTATTTCCATTATCTCAAAAAATTCTCACCCTGTTTTGCTTCTTAGTTTATTACTCAATCTTTTACATCCCTCTTTTCAAACAGAATTATGAATCCAAGCTACAAACCTCCTCTAGATGATAATTTCTGAAACATCATCACCAACATCTGCAATGTGGAAGAAGTTACTTTGTTTAACCAAAGGAGCCTGCCAGAGCAGCAGAATGGAATTTGGTTCATAAACAGATCTTGTTTCATGCACTGCATGAAAGCCCCTGTAACAAAACCCAGGAGAATGTTTACTTCTCAACACTCATTTCTTCCAGTTCTCTTGCTTTTTTTCTACATTCTGTCTGTGGGAAGTGATAGCAGAGGCAAAGATGTATCTCAGGCAGAATTCTCAGCTGCTTATTGAGGAGGGGCAGCAGGAAACTGTCTGGAGAGATCACCTAGAGAGATCAGGGATGGAAATGATTTTCAATCTGATTGGCACTTTCCTGCCTGACTGACATAGAGCATGACATATTTACTAATAATGAATGACAGATAAACAACGGGAGAAGGAATTGGGGCCATCTGGCCCTTCAGTAATTTCATCCCCAAGACATCTGTTACTATGAGAACTCACTTTGTGCCACTCCAGCTGGCACTGCTTCACAGTTCAAAATTTCAGCTGTAATAAAAGAGGAACATAAAGAGCCACTGTACAGAAGAAGGGAATGTCTGGTGCTTTGCAAATACTGGCCTTGCTTTTTTAATTGAGAGGCTTGTTCTGTATTTTTATAAAAAAATCTTTCATGAAAACTAATAAGCATCAATTTAATTCTAAAACAGCACCAATAGAGCCCAAAAATGAAATCTGATTTACGAAAAAAAAAAATATCCAAGCTTCAAGCAAGAAAATAATTGCAAAGTAAAAGAAACTGTATTTTTCCTAAAGTCTTCAATTTTAAAAAATATAAATAAAATGCACTTAATCTTATGTTCAAGATACTTATTGCTTAAGTTCATACACACAAAATTGTATAACAAAACCATGATTACTCCATACTGTAACTGCCTATGTGCTTCCAGCCTTCAGACTGGTCCATCTCTGTAGGTGCCATTCTACCGTATATGATCTTCCAGATACCAAGGTGAAAAACACAGTTCCTACACAAACATGGCCATCATTCACAGTATCACTCACGACTAAATGTGAAACTTCTACAGCTGAGATTTTCTCATTCCATTTCAAATTACAGGGAGTAAACTGTACTGATGTAACCGCATAAAACATGCGTTTAAGGCTAATGTATGAATGTGAGGGGGAAATCTGAACAAATGCCATCAAACTGCTATCCTTGTCCCTCTTTGCCTACAGGAAACACACTGATTCTATCAGCTTCCAAACAGAATCATCCAAACTGGTCTGTCAAACTCCCTGAAGACTCTATATCCTCAAAACCTAGGCAACTGTCAATCCACAATGTTGGTAAGCCACGTTACAAGCAGAGTAGGGCATTAAATAAGCTGTTCCTACCAGGCATTTCTCAAACAGGTTTTAGACACTTTAAGGACAAATATGCTACAATATCGCATTCAAGGGTTTGCACTGTAAAAACTACATCCATTCTGGGGAATGCTGCCACAATCAAGACAAGTTTTAACTAAAACTACGAATATATTCATATCTATATATCTATGTCTAATTGTATATTCATAGAATCATAAAATCATAGAATAGTCTGGCTTGGAAGTGACCTTTAAAGGTCATCTCATAAAAGCCCCCTGCAATGAGCTATTGACAGTAAACTAGATTACTTGACAGTAAACTAGATTAGCAATTCTCTCATATGCAACTAGTTTACAAATATTTTTAACACAAAATATAGGTGGAAGGAATCAGAATGCAAGACTTAAAGAACAATCTAAAAGACCGCTAAGTGTGAATCAAGAAAAAAAGGGGGAGCCACATATGCAGCAACACAAAGTAGCCATGAAGACACTTCCACTAGGGGATGACAGCCCGAGTCCTCACATCCAAGTAGGTTATTTCACCACCTTTTAAACTTACTAACAGTGAAGCATTTTGGAAGGATTTAATAGCAATCCCAAAAAGAACCCAAGTGTCAACAGCCATTTAATCATGCAGCACAGCCAGCCAAAAAC